AATTCTCGCAGCCTGGCAGGGTGTTATGTCTTACACTGGAGCAGATGGGGGAAATGCACCAGATACAGTTTCTACCCATCTACTCACAGTAGTGCTCAACTGAGGGAGATTATTCTAAAAACAAATGTAATAGGCAAACTGAGGTAGATACCCGAGCAGAGATAAAAACAAAGTCTTTGGAGAGCACAGGGAGAGGACACTTTTTTCTCATGTAGGGTGTCTGAGAAAATGTCACTTGAACTGGTCCGGAGGGTACCTGAAGTAGGACCTGGGGTGGAGAACTGAGGTGGGAGCGGCCCAGGTGTATTCAAAGAGTGATGAGTTGGATGATGTGGGTGCTGCGTCCAGGGGATGAAGGATGGTGTTCAGAGGGAGATAATATTTGGAGGGACAGCTTTTGGGTTGGTTGTGGAAGATCTTGCAGTCCTCAAGAGAGGACTGGCCTGCTAGCTCCGTGCTTTCAGACCAGCATTGACATTGGGAAATGTAATCTCCAAAACAATGCACTGCAGGTCCCCCTCATTGATGAGGCTCCAGTCTGCGCTTGAGTCCTTCTAGATGTCCCTCTCTGTGCCTGCATTGAGAGAGGAGCCTGTTCAGCAGGTCTGTAGGCAGCTTTTCTGTCTGGGGAGATGCAAACCTCTTGGCTGTTTCCCCTCCCCAGCTCTGCTACCTCAGGATGCTGATGAGACCCAGGGAGCACATTTGAAGGATGAAGAATCCCAGGTGGGTTGAGATTCCCTTTCACTTTCTCGAAGTTGTTTTTCATATTTTAAGAACCCTGGACTTTGATTTTCTTTGATTCGTCTTCCTGGCTTGGATGTTCTTAGCCTGTTTGAAACCAGGCTGCGTCCGCTGATTTCACAGGTAATTTCCCCACCAGCAGTAACCTTCCTTAGGGGCTTTCTTGTTTCTAGCAAACCCGTACCAATTTGCCAACACCTTTAAAAATTGTGCCAGTGTGTGTGCGTGTGCGTAAAAGTACATAATGTAATTTTTGCCCGTAAATCTCAGGGATGACATCTGTGGGAAAGAAAAACATTGCAAAACATTTTAAACAGCATTTAAAAATGAACAGAACCAGGATCTGATATTCTTGGAGATGAATACACTTCATTAATGAGCTTTAAGAGAGGCTTTTTGGTCACATCCAGGAGGAGAATTGCAGCTGAAAAGAGAAATGAGGAGAGAAACTGCTGGTAGGTCACGAAGGGCACAAACTAGACGGGCTGAGCAGAAAAGGAAGGAAGCTGCTAAGAGCAGTTCAGCCGTGTCCCTGCCTCCCAGACGAGCTCACCAGAAAACCAGTGGCACTGGCAAAGTGCGGTGCTGCCAAACCCTGCCAGCACAGAGAAGTGCAAGAAAATTACAGAGCAATCAGAGAAAACCAGTTTAAAGGGAGACTTTATTGAAGAGCACAGGTGTTTTAAAGTGGGGTGCTCTTAGCTTCCAAAATCACACGGCACAGGGTTTGGCTCCATACCTTTAACCATCCTCAGTGTCAGCCCAGTAGTCCTGACACGCATTCCAGAATGTACAATGACATAAAAGCCTCAAAATAGTCTCAATACTGAAGGAATTTGTTATCTCAGCTTTCTGGCTTCCGGGTTCTCTTTGCATTTGGGAATATTTTTAAAAAATAACTCAAATGGTTATTTAATTTGCATAGATCATAAATAGCAGGTCCCTGTACTTTAAGAGTGTCTGCTTCCACCCAGGGTTCTTCTTTACTAGGTGGAATTCCTGCCCACTCCAAAAACAGGCTGTTCTCCAGAATGTTCTTGTCAACAGACATATCTAGTGAAGGGCGTTTTGCCCACGCTGATGTGTCCTCATTGTCACGGTTCTTTCAGGCCAACAGTGGTCCCTGTTTTTCTCTCGTGGCCTTGGTGCTTCCAGACCCTCCCCTCTCTCAGATATTCCCATTCTTTGTTGTTCTTAGTCTCAACTACAACGCAGTACTCTGCAACCTTCTTTAATATTTCATGAGTATTTTGACTTCTGCCAAATTGTAACCTGCAAAAGACAACTTACCTGCTGTCATCATTGTTGTGTAACCTCCAGCAGAGAATCGGCCAAGCAAGCAGGTGTCCAGGAGAACTTGAGTAGAATCTTAGCATTAGACAAGGTCGGCACATCCTGAACTCAGGCGGGAAAAGAACGTATTTGATATTCTAGGAACTGTTAACCTTCAAGGACACACCTGTGGACTTCACCCAGGAGGAGTGGGGGCAACTGGTCCCCGCTCACCAGCACCTGTACCGGGAGGTGATGCTGGAGAAGTACGGGAACCTGGTTCATTTTGTCTCCTCTCACTACATTTTCAAGGCTTCTCATCAGTATCCTTTTTAACGTAGACGTAGCATTTTCACCTTCATTAGGATAGGCTAAACTACTATAGCAAATGGACTTTAAAATTTGGCTCAAATAGAAAGGAATTTCTTGTTTCTGTACTGGTCTGGGGTAACTGTTTACTTCAACGGACAGTTCTTCTCCAACCTGGTGAATCTGGAGCCAAGGTTTCTTCCACACGGTGGCTCCACAATCCCCGAGAGCTTCCACATCATTTAAATTTACCCAGCAGTGAAAGGAGCTCATTTGAGAGTTTTTTTACAGGCCTGCCTATAGGAGTTCAGATCACTTTCACTGTCATTCACTTAATGGGGAGATCTTTGTCCCTTCACTCAACCAAATTCAAGGAAGACTGGGAAACACAGTGTAGTGGGGTGTCAGAAAAAGGGGGAGGACAGGCCTCAGAGGACAGCCAGCAGTCTCTGCACAGTCCCTGAGGGGTCTCTGTCTTCTACGCAGCAGTTGTGTGTCTTTGCAAACGCCCACAGACTCACTCTGCTGGTCTCAGCCATCCCTTTGATACTGATATTCTCCATGTTTGCATCTTGGTCTTATACATCCATATGAACTCTATTCCCACGTCTTTGTACAGATGCACTAGTGTCACTTTAAGCCCAGTATGTCCAAAAATAGAGGCCATCTTCACTCCCAAACAAGTTTCTCATCCTGACTCCTCCTGTCCTTTGTCTCGTGACATCAGCAAGAGTGCATCGTGCTTTATACCCTCAGCTTCCCCCTTAGTCCCCCTAGTTTGTTCTTTGGTGTTGCCTCTCCGCTCCACTTCTCTCTGTCTCTCTTGAGGCAATGCTGAGCCAAGTATATCCCATGCCAATTACCATGATTTCTAGCTACATTTTATGTCTTATTTTCTTTCTCTGAATCATTTTGAATACTACTGCCAGATTTGACCACTCAAAATATGACATTTATCTTGTTTCTACCTTAAAAAGAAAGTTAAGTGATTCGCTATTCCCTGTAGTAAGTGATCTAAACATCTTCACTTGCTTTTTCAGTTCACTCCAAAATTTATTCAGCTATTACTGAGCACTTTGTATGTGCTATTATTAAAGTGAGGTTAGAAATCCTAGGGAATATGATTCTTCTGTGAACAAGAACTATTGGTGTTTTAGGGTGGCAGGGCCCAGAACGGATGGATAGAAATAGTAAAAATCAGAGAAACTACTGATCCAAAAATGTGTGTCATGTATAGATAGAATATATATTCTCTATCCTTCAAGATTTTTAGTTAATACTTTGACATAAATGAAGGTCATTTTCCTCCTCTTAAATAGGCAAAAATGAGGAAGATTGAGTTTGCAGGGAAAGGCACCCACGTTCACTGAGAGCACACATACTCGCGACCCAGCAATTCCTCATTAGTACCTTCTATGAAACACTGTCAGGATTGTGTGCAAGTGTATGTATAACAAGAAAGTAAAAGGTGGAGACACCCTAATTATTTTTCAGTATGGAAGAGTCAAATGATGGTATGTCCGTAAAGTGGAATGCAACGCAGTTAAAAAAAAAATGAAATAAGTCTAAATGTACAGACATGGAAGGGGGCCCATAGATACAGGTGAGTTAAAAACCAGAACAAAACAGATACAGAGCTATATGTATGCTATGATCCATTTCTTTTTTGTTCAACTGTATATTTATGACCATATATACATAAATGCAAACATCCGCATACACATATCATTGGGAAATGTTGAATCCTAAGAGGCTAGAGGAAACAGGGATAGGATTGAGGGAGGCTACCCGATTTTAGTGAATACCTTCCTATATATTTAATATTTTAAATTAATGGGTAAAAAGTATGAGACAAACACTTACAATTTTCAATGAATAAAATTCTGTCATAGAAATATGAGCTTGAGATGATATGGTATTAGAATCCCATCTTCTTTAATCTTATCTCTTGATATTTGCCCTTACAATAATGCCTCCTTCTTATTCCATTTCCTCTTGCAATTCACATGAATGAACTCTCCTGATATCTCTTTTTAGATTTATGTATGTATGTATGTATGTATGTATGTATTTTTAAAGAGGGGAAGAGAGGGAGAAAGAGAAAGAGAAAGAGAACATCAATGTATGAGAGAAACATCAATCAGTTGCCTCTCACACGTGCCCCAACTAGGGACCAGGCCCATAACCCATGCATGTCCCCTGATCAGGAATTGAACTGACAACCTTTCACTCTGCAAGGTAATGCCCAACCAACTGAGCCACCCTGGTCAGGACTCTCCCAGTTTCTTAAAGTCACCTCACATACTTTTAACAGCTTCCTTTGGTCACTCCCTCACTTCCTTTCATATTAGCTTTCTAGGTGGCAGGATCTCACAGTTGAAGACAGTCCAGGTTTCCTGTACCTGGTATATGTTATTGTCATTCCTTCCTGTTATCACTATAGCCTTTATTTTTTAAAATTCAGGGAATATGGGTCATTTGTATTTTTGGATTTCTTTCAGACTTGGAGAGTAAAACAAAAACTAAAGAGCTAACCTTAAAGAACTGACATTTTGTGGGAAGAATTACACCATGGCCTGATAAAGGAAATGTCCACAAGAGGAAGCACCTTGTGTTCCACATTTAGAAGAGTTTCCAAATGTGATAATTTAGGGAACCACCAGGAAAACCAAGGAATGGGTGAGGGGCAAATCCCCTTGAGCCACAGGAAAACGGTCACTCTGGAGATAGACCAAGAATCTAACAGATTCGAGAAAAGTAATGATATGAGCTCAAAAGATATTCCAGGACCAGTAGGTTCTCCAAGAAAAAGAGACCATAAATATGACATATCTTGGAAGAGAAGTAGATACAATTTAGATTTGATTAATCACTCAAGGAGTTATACAAGAATGAAAACCTTTGAGTGTAATAGTTGTGAAAAGAATCTTCAAACAGTTCATTCACCTAACAGAACACATGAGAATTCATACTGGGGAAAAACCTTTCAGATGTAAAGAATGTGGAAAAGCCTTTAGCCAAAGTTCCTCTCTTATTCCACATCAGAGAACCCCTATGGCGAGAAGCCCTATGAATGTAATGAATGTGGGAAAACCTTCAGACATTCATCATTTCTTACTGAACATGTAGAATCCACACTAGGGAGAAGCCCTAGGAATGTGGTGAGTGTGAGGAAGTATTCAGCCAGAGCACTGGGCTGATCCAGCATCTGAGAACTCATGTGACAGAGAAACCTTTCACATGCAAAGACTGTAGAAAAGAATTTTTCCAGATTAGACACCTCAGGTAACAGGAGATTATTCATACTGGTTGAAATCCTATATTTGTAATGTGTGTAGTAAAACCTTCAGCCATAGCACATACCTGACTTGACACCAGAGAACTCATCCTGGGGAAAGACCATGTAAATGTAAGGAATGTGGGAAAGCCTTTAGCCAAAGGATACATCTTTCCACTCATCAGAGAGTACACACTGGAGTGACACCTGATGAATACAATCATTGTGGGAAAGCTTTAGGCATGATGTATCCTTTGCCAAACCTCAGAGGATTCATACTGGGGAAAAACCTTATGATTGTAATGAATGTGGGAAAGTCTTCAGCTGTAGTTCATCACTTATCAGACATTGTAAAACACATTTAAGGAACCTTCAGCAATGACACAGGAAAGATGTTCAACATCAAGGAATCTTCATAGTGGAACAAAAGCCTGTAAAATAGTGGTTTTCTGACTTTTGGATTTCAAAAACCAATAATTTTTTATTGGTTTGATCCAATGTTACAGCTAATAGTTTTGTCATATTAAACGAAAACACCTATTATCAGCATTGTGTCATAAAAGAAAGGACATTTTAATATTTAAAAATACAGGAAGGTTATAATCATAAAGAACAGACCTTTACATTGAATTAAGTCAGCTTTATGAAAACCTTCCAAAGTTGTCTTTATTTTTCTCATTGCACTATAAATTCAGTGAAAACTTCATCACAGCAGGTCAGTCATCTGTGGACTGACTTTTGAGAATCACTGTTTTAAATACCCTTTAATGAGTCAGAATAAAATGCAATATATCCCTTTTACTATAGCTCCTTATGTGGCTAGAAGAGGTAGAAATAAAAATATTGGTTGGTTTACTTCTAGAGGAAATAATGTTAAAGGAAAGTTTCTAGAGTTGATAGATAACCTACTATGCATGTTATGCTTATATATTTTTAATGGTTTCTTACAGACAGTTAGCAAATTGTTCTTGTAATAGGCCAGATAGTAAATGTGTAACATGCTGTGGGCCATAAGTCCTCTGTCAGAATCACTCAACTCTACTATTTTAGTGCAAAAGCATCCAGAGACAACACATAAATCAGGTGTCCCAATCATGGCACCTGTACTTTGGGCCAGATACTTTGTTATGGGCAGCTTCCTGTGTGCTGTGTATGTTTAGCAGTATCTCTGACTACAAATGCCCGTACCAGATGCCAATAGTCCACCCCACCATAGTGACAATGAAAAAGGTCTCCAGACTTTGCTAGATGTCCCTGGGGTCAAGATTGTCCCTACTTGAGAACTCACATAACTAAATGTTCCAATACATTTTTAAAAAACAGGTGTTGAGTTGCATTTAGCCCAAGGACTATAGTTTGTCTCTCCTATATATAGAGTATGTAAATGGCTAATAATGGCAAGAAACCTGTTTGGTATCAAATTACTATGTATATCTATGTCATAACGCCTATCTTCTTATCAGTTCTTTTGGTATTTTGTTGCAAGAATTTAAAAAAGATCACATTTGTAGTGCTGTTGTGTAAGTATGTAAGCCTAGGAATTATTTATCATGATATTTATACAGACTTCAATCTATAATGATTTTCTTTTAATTTTTAGAGAAAGAGAGGGAGGGAGACAGAGAAACATTCATTTGTTGTTCCACCTATCTACAAATTCAGTGGTTGACTCTTGTATGTGCCTTGACCAGGGATCAAACCCTTAACCTTGGTGTATTGGGATGATGCTCTAACCAACTGAGTTAACTGGCCAGGGCTAATGATGCTTTTTCATTCATCCATACGTACTTAGAGATGTGTCTCTAAAACATAACTGCAATGCCATTATTACGCCTAAAAATATTAGGCCATAATCTCTTAATACATATTGATGACTTTTTGGAGATAGATATATTGAAATTGGTGGCCATTTAAATTCTTTTAAACTTTTCCCTTTGATAAGTATAAAGTATTAGATTTGAAAATGTGCATTCTGTTGATGGGGAGTGATTTTGGGATAGCCCCCAGAACAATCCATCTAGGAACCCACTGACAAGGACCAGGGAGAAGGTGATTTCAGGGGCCATATTGAGGCAAGGAAGCATGAGAGAGGAAAAGGGAGAATGGACTCAGAGTACTTCACTTAACAGATACTGTATCCTTCCAAACATAATTGGAGGTATGTCAAGTTCAACTCGTTATTCTTACATGGCAGAACAACTCAATTGCCTGAGCATTGTAAGTGTGAACTTAAAAAAGTAAAGCTATAAATCCAGAATATATGTTTCTAGATTTTTCCTATTACCACATTTAATTCTTTTTAAAAAAATGGCCTCTGATTCTTAAGCTCTTATATGGGTCAAAGGAGAGAGGGGATACACACTGTTCCTTACATATGTTCTATCACCTTTCTATGGTCTTAGATTTCCTAAGAATTGAGTTTCTCTGATTGTTCCTTGAGTTTCTCTGATTGTTCCTTTTAGTGAAAGGTGTGACTATCGCTTTTCTCTTTTGATAGTCTTGGCCTCAGTGACCTCATTTAGTCTCATGGTGTAAGATACCATCTCTATTTAAATGTCAGATTCACATCTCCAGCCCAGACCTCCCTCATGAACTCCAGCCTTGTGCCTGACATCGGGCCTTTGTACGAGCTGTTCCTTCAGACATCCTTCACCCTGACCTTCTCATCTTCGCTCATATGATGCCTTTTCTCTGAACACTATCCAGACCATGCTGTTTAAAGTTGCAAACTGTTTCTTACCCCCAAACTGCAAATATTAGATATTTTACATATTTATTATGCTTATTTACTATTATTTCCCCCTACCAGTATTTAAGCTCCATGAGAGTATGTATCTGGTTTTTTTTTTTCTTTCTACAAGTGCCTACAACAGTGCCTGGCACACAGTTGGAACTCAATATTTGAGGAATTGTTTTAATTTGAACTGAATTGATTAGGTATCCATGATGACAATAGAGAAACATGATCCCTATACCTAGATTTTATAGGTGAGATCTTTTTGTTTCCTTTTTAAGTTTTATTTATTTATTGCTTTGCAAATGGTTGAATTTTTAGGCCTCTAAGAACTATGAATTACAACATATACTTTTAAGATAGAAGGCTATTTTTAAGTTAATCTGCTAAAAATGCAGTTAAATGTGGCTGACTAAGGACAAGAGCTTACCTTTGTTTTGTAAGTGTGTGTTTATGAGAAACTAGGGAAGGATAAAAGACAACCCAGTAGTGGGGCAGAGTACAGCAGCAGGCTGGAGGTGTCAGCCGGTTTTGGGTAGTGAGAAAACAGAAGCATGGCAACTGCTTTAGCAGAGCCTGCAGAGAAGAATATGGACAAGGGAGGTCCCTGGGGAGGCTGAGGCCTTGGAGGCAGTGGGCATCGTGGAAGACCAGGGGCTGAAAATCTGGATCTGTTGGAATTCTGTACTTAGCGCCCGAGGTCCCCTCACCTACCCCACACAGCAGGCTGCTACACATTCCTCCGTCCATGCCTTTCTCCATCCCATTGCCTCCTTCCCTCAGCTCGAAGAAGGCTACACATTTGTTCACCGGAGGACTGGAGTTGCTCTGGAATCAGGGACACAAGACACAGTGGAGACCGGAGGGAAGGAGCAGAGCTAATGTGGAGATTAACATAAAGCCGCAGACTGAACTGTGGGGCCCTCAGCCCCCTTTGCCAGGAAGAGCCAGGCTCCACCCTTTCCACAGCCTCCCTGCCACCCCCATTGGAGGAGTCTTCTCTGGAGAAGCTGCATGGCCGGAAGAAAAGGCACTGAAATTTGTGGATAGTTGAGTGAGAAATCAAGGCCAACAACCCAAGTACCCTGCTCATGTAAATTGAACTTCCGGTCTCCAAAAAGAGAAGACAAAATGAAGGGTAGGAAATATGTGCATACACAATAGACAGTTTTTGAGAATTGAAGGACATGAATCTTAGCATTGAAAGGATCTGTGTTCTCAGCACAGTAAATACCTACAGCTAACATTTATCATATACTTACAATGTATTGGGCTATGTTGTAAGTACTTTGTACATATTAACTCACTTAATTCTCACAAAAATCCTCTGAAGTGGGTACTATTATTCCCATTTTACAGATGAGGAAACAGTCATGGAGAGTGTAAGCTAGCGGCATCTAGGTAGTAAACGGCAGAGCTGAAGTTTGAAACTTCCAAAAGTGAGCTATCCCAAGAAACATCATTATAGAGTATCACCACTCCAGAGGGAAGGAGAGTGTCCTAAAGGCTCCTGGAGCAAGATGACAGGTCATTCACCTGCATGACCTATCAGGAAATCCTCAGACTTCTCACAAAAATGATTGAGCAATGTCTTCAATATTTTGAAGGTGTGGGGAAGGGGGGTTTTAGACTAAATGGTAATGAAATAAATACAATTAAACATTTTTTGGGGAAAAATTGATCTTCAGCTTAAAGTCCTCTTCCCAGCAACCAAACAAGTGTGAGGGCAACATAAAGACAATTTCAGACATGCCAAGTGTCCTCCCTTCTCTCCCTACCCAGCTCCTAGTCACACCCCTGCAGACGCCCTCAGCTCCACACACGTGTTGTTAACACCCCACCCTAGTCAGGTCTAGTCGCTACAACAAAAACATCACAGGCTGCATGGCTTATAAACAGCAGAAACCTACTGCTCGCAGCTCTGGAGGCTGGAAGCTGAAGATGAAGCATGGCTGGGTTCTGGTGTCGGTCCTCTTCTGAGTCTCAGACTGCCAGCTTCTGGATGGCTTCTCACATGGCTAGGGAGCCTTGTGGGGTCTCTTTTTAAGAGCACTAATCCCATTGGAGGAGTTACACCCTCATGTCCTAAGCCTCTCCAAAGGGCCCCACCTCCTAAATACCATTGCATCGGCCCTCAGGACTGCAGCATACGAACTGTGAGGGGACACACATGGTCAGACCATTGCACACCCACATTTATATTTCCAACTCTAAACTCTCTCTGCACCTCAGGCTCTTAATTCCAAGGGCACATTTGACTCCTGGATGTGTGTATCAGACACCTCAAATTTAACAAGTCCATTTCTGAACCAGCTCTACCTCCAGGATTTCTTGTCTGAGTAATGGGAACATCTGATTTCTCAACCAGAACCATCCTTGACTCCTCTTTCTCTAACTCTACATTCAGTCCCTCAAAGTGTCCCTTTTTTCATCATCTCCACTACCACTACCTAGTCCAGCCCACGATATTCTCTCACTTGCACATTGCACACTTGCAGACCCCGCAGTTCATTCTCCAGGTAGTGCCCAAATGATTTTTTAGTGTGTAAGATTATCTTGCTTCTCAGTTCAAAACCCTCAAAGGCTTCCCATTTCTCTCGGAATAGATCCAATGTTCTTCCTAGGGTTTGCTTCAAGCAATAAAACATTGCTTGCTGGTTCTTCCATGGGCCCTCACACACACTTCCACCTTATAAGGAGCCTATCTGAGTGGCATGGTGAACGTAGCCCAGCCCCTGATTCGAAAACCAACAGGGAGTGAGTCAGCACATAGGAGCTGAGCTCGGGATCAGTTCTCCCGTGGGGAATCAGGCCTGCATTATACCTAGGTTGTTTTAAGGCTTGCTTGCTTTTTGCTAAAACTCCCTTACCCTGGATTGGAGCAAATGTTTGCTGCGTATCTTTAAAGTACCTGCCTAAAGTCTGTGCTAAACCTCCCAGGTATGGAGTATAACCAGTTCAACCACCTTTCCCCTTGCATTTGAAAACATCCTTTTCTTTGAAGTGATTAGCAACATTCTTTCCTTTGTTATCTGTAAAAGGCAATCACCTACAGTGAAACTGTGCACAGTAAATGAGGACCATTCCCAACATAATGTACCCAGAAAAGCAATAAAAGCCTGTCCAGGCAGGGGTCAGGCCCTCTCTCTCACTTAGACAGCAGCCATGCCGTCCCTTTTTCTTCACAGGACTCCTGCAGTCCATGTGAATTTGTTCGTCCCAGCCACAACACACGGACCCCTCGGGCCGGAGTCTGCATCGAGGGGGTTATGTGAGTTCTTATATCTGTGATCTGGTTGCTTTCATAGGTACTGAAGAATATAAAGTTGTTCTCTCTTCAAATACTATCTCTGCCCTAGCTTTTCTGTCCTTCAACTTACGCTAGTAGATCTTTTCACTGTGTCTGTATCTCTCATCCTCTCTTCTGCATATTCCATTCTTTTGTTTCTTAGTACTTCACTCTAGATAATGTCTTCTTACCTACTTTCCATTGCATTTAGTCTCCATACAGCTATGTCTCATCTGCTATACCATCCACTGAATTCTTAATTTTGTTACGGTAGAATTTCTATTTAGCTCCTTTTTTATATCTGCTTTATCACTTTTCATAGTTTCCAGGTACCTGCCAAAACTATCTGAGTTATATTTTATTTCTTTAAACCAAAAATACAAACTGTTTTATAGTTCACATCTGATAATTCCAAAAGAAATTGTTTTTTTAAAAAAATTAATTGTTTTTGCATGTCTATTTCTGTTGCTTGTGTTTCTGCTGAAAAGCTCACCCAAAGACTCTAGTTTTCTTGCATATCTGCTTATCTTTAATTCTGTACTTAACATTTCTCTAAAAACTTATTGTAGAAACAGTTTAAGGCCTATAGTTATAATCCTTCCCTCCAGAGAGGATTTGTATTTGCCTTTGCCAGGCATCTGGCGGCATCACAGTCAGAGACCACCTAAAACCACGGCCAAGGCTGAGACAGGCAATTTCACCCCAGCCTGTAAATTCTTCTCAAGCTATTCCACTTTCAATTCACTCTCACCCTAAGTGTGCAACCCTTTGGGGTTCCAGTGATTGTACAGAGGGTCTTCTATTTCACTCCCTATACTTCATTCACTCATTCATTCATTCATTCATTCTTTGAAGTGGGAAAGGAAGATCATAATTTTTCATCTGGGTAAATGTCTCAGGGCAAAAGCATCTTCCAATGTTTCCAGCTGGATTACCTTTCCAGATCCTTGCTTCCCAGCTTTTGGTCTGGTAATCCTATATCTTGCCATCTCCTAGACACCTTGTTATGGGTTCAGTTGTGTATCCCCAAAATTCATATGTTGAAACCCTAGTCCCCAGTACCTCAGAATGTGACTGTATTTATCAAATATTTTGATGATTAAACTTAATCGCTTTAAAGAGATAATCGAGTTAAAATGAGGCATTAGGGTATGCTCTAAACCAATCTGACTGGTATCCTTATAAGAGGAAATTTGGACAGAGACACAGCAGGGGCGTACAAACACACAGCAGAAAGACACTGAGAGGACGCAAGGTCAAGGCAGCCACTTGCAGCCAGGAATAAAGGTCTCGCGAGAAATCAGCTCTGCTGACACTTGGATACTGGACTTTTGACCTCCACAACTGAGAAAATACATTTCTGTCATTTAAGCCACCCAGTTAGTGGTACTGTATGACAGCCTTAGTAAACTAATACACGCCTTTAAAAACATTAAAATATATATATTCCAGACTTTTACTTTTTAATAGTACTGTTTTCTGAGGTAGGCTGATATAAATATCCTAGCCCACAATGACCAGAGATAGGAACTCCAGTTATCCTCTATCCCCTACTCTATACGCTGCTTCCCTTTTCCTCACAGCCATTATAATCTCCTGCGATATTATCTATTCTTCTATGTATCTATTTAATCTCGCTGGAATTCAAATCCAAGAAAGAAGGGACTACGTTTTGATAAATGGATATCCAAGATATCCATTTTTGGATAACTTGTATCCTCAGATCCTGTAAGAATCAATGCGTGGCAGATCATGGGCACTAAAGAGATGGTTGGTGAATGAATGAATGAATGACAGAGAAGGGGCTTCCCCACTGGAAGAGCTGTCAGTCCCCGTGGTCGCTCCCAACCACTACCAGGAAATGCGGCAGGTCCTCTGGAGTGCCCGCAGCCCCGGGGTCTGGGTGGTCTGCGGGGAGGGGGGTGGGGGGGTGGGAGGTGCGCTCCACGTAATCCGGGTTCCGGGTCTTCCCTCGCGCCCCACTTTCGGAGCCGGCGGGCTCCTAGGCGGGCCTCGTGGGTGGAGCCAGCAGCGGGCGGGCGGAGCCCTCCGGAAGACTAGCTGGTGCTGCGCTGGAGGGGAGCGCGCCCGCGTGGGTGAGCCGCACCCCGGGCTCCACTGGGCCTCAGGCTAGGGCCACCCGTGGCGCAGACAACTGCAGGGAATCGTCTTGAAGCACGGGCACTAGGAGACGCCGGGTTGCCGCCCAAGAGGCGGCTCGCTGGTTGTCCTGGCCGCCGCCGCCGCCGCCCAGACACTAAAGCTGCAGCCTGCGAGGTGTATCCTTGTCTAGGTCTGCGGGAAGGGGGTTCAGGGAATCCCTCCATTGCAGCTCCCAGAGCCCAGCTCCTCGCTGTGCAGTTGTGAAAGGCCACGCGGGAGGGTTAGGGGTCATCAGAGTGGCAGTAACCCGCCCTAGGCCGCCTGTGCTTGGGAATTTCGAGAAGAACCACTTCCAGTCTGGAGGCCGATGTGAACGTTGGGCGTGTTGTGAGTGGGTCTGTGGTCTGTAGAAGGCTAGAAAAGAACAAAATCTGTTGCCAGTCCTCCCCTAAAGAGACACCTGGAGCTGAAAGCCTCAAGAGCGAGCGCTCACGCCCCTATCTCTGGTCCTACCAGCGTCCACCTCCCCGCCCCACAGCCGATCTGGTGAGTAGGAAGCCACACTGCTGGTGTCGTCAGCCTTGAAGTCTGAGGGAGGCAGGTCTGGGAGCAGGGAGAAGGGGTACCTACGAAAGGAAGCTTCTCTGTCATTAACCGTTTTATTAATTTCTCCACTTTGGTAACAAGACATTTACTTTTTATATATTAAGAAGCAGAATATTTCCAACACGCTTCAGTTGGTTAGGATGTAGCCCCCTTTCTCTGTATCAGCAGTCACAGATGAAAAAAGATGCCCATAAAATGCATTCCCTTCCCCACAAACTTCAAAAAGTTGGGCCAGCCTCCTTTCCACAGAGATGGGACTGATTTGGGGGCCCCAGATACACTGAACTGGTTGCTGTGGAGAGCCCTGCCTGCTCAGATATCATGGGGTCAGATGAGATAGATGATGTATTTGAGGCTTTTTCCTCCCCACATTGCCTATTACCAACAGTTCTATAGTAGTCTTCATTATACTCCAAATACTATATTTCCTCCACTTTTAGGCATACTCCTCTCCCTCCGTTTTAACATTTTTGAAACCAGGATACATCTTAACAGAGAGGTTAAAAGAACTTGCTGGGTGCTAGGCATCCATGTGGGTGGTGATGTGTCTGTCACCGCTTGTCCATGTGAAGAAAATACAGCTACGTGATTATTCCATCAGTGGAGATACTTGAAATGAACTTTAAATTGAGATTCATTGTTTTTATTTTTAGTTTTTTAAAGATTTTATTTATTTATTTTTAGAGAGAGGGGAAGGGAGAGAGGAAGAGAGGGAGAAAAACATCAATGTGTGGTTGCCCCTTGAGCACCCCCCACTGGGGACCTGGCCTGCAACCCAGGCATGTGCTCTGACCTGGAATCGAACTAGCGACCATTCAGTTGGCAGGCCAGTGCTCAATCCACTGAATCACACCAGCTAGGGCTCATTGTTTTTTAAAAATAACTTCAAAAGGGCCCTGGTTGGTGTAGCTCAGTGGATTGAGCACGGGCTGCGAACCAAAGTGTCGCAGGTTCGATTCCCAGCCGGGGTACATGCCTGGGTTGTAGGCCATAACCCCCAGCAACCGCACATTGATGTTTCTCTCTCTATCTCCCTCCCTTCCCTCTCTAAAAATAAATAAATAAAATCTTTTAAAAAATAACTTAAAAAGACAATGCTATGATACAGCATTAAAGCAAAACATTTTTTGGTAAAGATTTTATTTTTAGAGAGGGAAGGGGCAGAGAGAGAGAGAGAAAGAGAGAGAAACATCAATGTGCGGTTGCTGAGGGTCATGGCCTGCAACCCAGGCATGTGTCCTGACTGGTAATCGAACATGCAACACTTTGGTTCGTAGCCCGCGCTCAATCCACTGAGCTATGCCAGCCAGGGCTAGCAAAACATTTATAATAATGTTTATTAAAGTATTATGGTATGTCCAACATTGTCTCAATTAATCAACATTACAACAGTATGAAATATAACTATTATTCCTATTTTATAGATGAAGAAACTGAAGCTCAGATAGTTGAAGTGCCTTAGAACTTTTAAGTGCAAGGGGCAGGATTCTAACCCAGGTTGTCTGATTTTAAAGCTTTCCTTTTTTCAAATCTGTATCCAGGCAGAAGATGCATGCAGCTTATTATAAGGAGGGAGGTCAAGGCAGGGTCAGTGGGTGTCTGTGTGCTTTTGGCTTTGTGTGTGTGTGTGTGTGTGTGTGTGTGTGTATGGAACTGGGAGACAGAGCTGCATCCAAGAGCATTGGCTGTACTTATTCCCACGTTGATGTCAAATATTTGTTTTTGGATCTTTTGCAGTTTAAACATATTTTTGCAAGTTCTGGAGTTCTGGCTGTATGAGGGTGCTCCTGGATCCCTTCTCTCCTGCTGCATGCTCTGCTAGAAGAAGAGAGAGGCATGCCCTGAAACCTACCCAACCGGCTGCCTCCCAAGAAGGCGGTACTTAATTTAAGAGCAGAGTCGGGTTTTCAGAGTTGTTAAAGTGGCCTCAGCCTCTAGGGGCCCCCAGGTTCTGGTGCTGCAGGAACATGCCTGAGGGCGGGAGGCTGTGATCATAGGAGGATCATGCAACTGTGAAGCCTCCCAGCAGAGGTCTGGCCGTGTCCTCAGCAGAGGCGGACAAGCCCCGTCAGGCAGCGTCATCATGCTGCAGCAGCTCCTGATCACCCTGCCCACCAAGGCCAGCGCCTGGGTGAAGCTGCACCATCCAAAGAAGGCCAAGGAGGGGGCGCCCCTGTGGGAGGATGTGACTAAGATGTTTGAAGGAGAAGGTGAGAACAGGCTGATGGAGGTGGGGGTGGAAGGAGAAAGCGGAAATCTCATTTGTGTGTGAAAATATAGGCACACTTCATTGTTCTGGTCTCTTGGAGAGAAAATTGGGGGAAAGCAGGTCTCGGGTTCATGCTTGTGGCTTTTGGGAAGGGGATAGCTGTGAGAGTTCTGGAATTCTGGCTGTATGATCAGTGCTTCTGGATCCCTCCTCTCCTGCTGCTATGCTCCTCTAGAAGAACGTGGAGGTGTGCACTCAAACCTGCTCCACTGGCTGCCTCCGAAGGAGGTGGTACTTAGTACTGTGCTCCCGGCACAGGCTCCTTGCTGACATGCGCTCTGTGCTGGCCCATGCTGCTCCGTCTCCTGTCCTCAGATACCACACTCAGTGTAAGATGTTCCCTATCAGCAGCTCCTGAGTGTGGGACATGTGACAGCAAAGTCAAAGCCGTTTGCACCCTTAAACCCTCCAGTGGTTTTCCTTCACAGGTTTCAGTCATTTTAGCCCCAAACCAGTATCAGTTCTTTCATTTCATCTTCTGCTAAGAGGAAGGAATGACATGCTTGATTACTCTCACTTTACCTTGCAATACATGGGTTTGGTGGGAAAATGTCCAAGATTACACATTATTTAGTGGCCTGGTCAGGATAGATGGACAGATAGAGGAATTCTTGTGTTTCATGTGATCTCTTAATTCATACCTTTAACACTTTAGGTTCAGCCAACTATTTATTGTATTCTAGCTGTGTCAGGCAGGGACTTGACCAAGCATCTTGAGAGATAGAAAAATGAATACCGATCTCTAATGCTGATTATTAATTGGTGGAGATAGACACAAACCCAGATCCAAATAGTAGAAGGTAACCTAGGAAAATGCTATGGTAAAGTGCTTTTGGAAGACAAGAGATAGGAACCATTTTTCCAACTGTACTTATCTGAGAAATTTTCACAAAGCAGGTAGCATTGAATTGGGCCTTGAAAGACGTCCAGATTTTTTGCAGCAGGTTCAGAGAATGAAGCCTGTTGTAGCCTAACTGAAGTTGATGTTCGTGTCCAGGTTAAGGATGGTGATTAGAGGAAACCAGTGCTGGACAAATATGCTTCAGGTAGACTGTACAGTGACTTGAAGTCCATGGGAAATGGCTGAACTTTTTTTCTTGTTGGACACCTTTGAACAAAGGAGTGTCTTGATAGATCTGTGCATTGGGACCAACCATTGGGAAATACTAATGCCCAAAACAATGCTCTGCAGGTCCCCCTCATTGATGAGGCTCCAGTCTGTGCTTGAGTCCTTCTAGATGTCCCTCTTGTGACTGCATTGAGAGAGGAGCCTGTTCAGCAGGTCTGCAGGCAGCTTGTCTGTCTGGGGAGATGCAAACCTCTTGGCTCTTTTCCCTCCCCAGCTCTGCTACCTCAGGATGCTGATGAGACCCAGGGAGAACATTCAAAGGATGAAGGGACTTCTGGGGCTCAAACAGCAGAATCCCAGGTGGGTTAGAGTTTCCTCTCATTATTTTGACGGGCTTCTTCGTTTTTGTTTTTGTTTTTTAAGATTTTATTAATTTAGAGAGAGAGACAAAGGGAGGGAGAAAGAGAGGGATAGAAACATCAATGTGTTATTGTCTCTTGTGTGTTCCCTACTGGGGACCTGGCCCACAACCCAGGCATGTGGCCTGACTGGGAATCGAACCAGAGACACTTTGGTTGGCAGGCTGGTGCTAAATCCACTGAGCCACACCAGCCACAGCTGCTTCTTCCTTTTTAAAGCTGTACCTTGCCCCCATATTTTTGGAGTGGGAGGTCACTGAGGCTAACAGATCCAACCTAGGAAGCTCAAGGCACATTGCTCTTGTGCAGAAAATGGGGCCATAGTGGTAGCAATTTATCTGCTCGTAGAATAAGTTATACCTTCCTCCATGTAACTCTTATTACTAACCAATATCTAGATCTAACATTCTCTAATTTCTGTAAAGAAAGCAAAATGAATGATATCATTCTAGCCTTTAAAAATCAACAGATACTACTTGGGATCTAAGATAAGCCTTATTTATTTATTTATTTATTTATTTATTGAGTATTTCATACTGAAAAACGAACTTCATAAATGAGAAGAAACTTCTGACATTCTTAGTGAGGTACACATACCACCTGGGAACTTCATAAGGTGACCCGTACAGTATTGGGAGCAGAGGTCAAACTGCAGCCAAAAAAGTGGGAGGAGAAGAAATGGTCAGACACACGGTGCACCAGGTAGCCTGGGCCGATACAACGGGGTGCCGGAAATGGGTGTCCTCACTGCCTGGTGGAAGGATAGGTGAGACAGAAGGAAAATTGTTGAGTCAAAGGAAAAGGAGACTATTGAAGAGGAAACGTTATTCGAGAACAGAAGTGTTTTAGGTAAGAAGAACTTGGGTTCTGAAACTAGGTGGTGCAGGGTTTGAACTTATTTCTTGAATTTACTCACTTATGATCTGTTACAATATTTTTCAGCTGTTTACAATTCCAGTTTCCTCAGCTAATTCAGATACTATATTTTCTAGGGTTAAAGTGAACTGTAGAGTTACTTAGAGAAATATGGAAGAAGTAATAATCTAATTATTTAAAGAGTTATCTCTGCATTCCACTTTTCCAGAATTCCTCACTTCCTGGCATTTATCAAAAACTGATGGGATTCTTAGTCCCAGGAAAAGATTACATTTCAAAAAACATAGGGTAAAACACTTAAGAAAGTATGTACTTCTATTTTGAAGTATGTATACACCATCTAATCAAATCAGTATAAAGAGTATTTCCATGGTCTCAGAAAGTTCCCCCATGCCCCCAATCGACACTGCTTTGCCCCCAGTAGAGAGTACATAGGATATCCATTTATTTCTTATAACTGCATGTGAATCTATAAAAATTAATTTTAAAGACTGTGTATTCTCTACTGTTCTATAAATGTCAGTTGGGTTAAGTTGGTTAGTAGTTGTTCAAAGCTATATCCTTGATGAATTTTTGTCTAGTTGTGTCAGTTACTGAGAGAAGAATGTCAAAATCTCTGATTATTTTGATTTTGTCTCCCTCTGCCTTTAGTTCTGTCAGTTCTGCCTTATTTTGAATTCTGTTATCAGATGCATAAACACAAGACTGTTGTTTTCATGATGAACTTATCATTATGAAATGTCTCTTTATGCCTAGTAATATTCCTCTTCCTGAAGTCCACTTTGTCTGATTTAATATCGCTGCTCTAGTGTTCTTTTACTTTTTGCATGGTATAACCTTTTCCATTCCTTTACCTTTCACCTCTCTTTGTCTTTATATTTAAAGTGTGACTTTCTTAAATATCACTGGGTCTTGCTTGGCTGGTCCCTTTACAGTTGACATGATCGTTGACATGGTGGGATCTGAGTAAACACTCTTGTCCTTGTTTGCAGTTCGTCCCATCCCTTCTTTGTCCTGCTTCTCCTGCCTTCTTTCGAATGGAATAGTTTTTAGAATTCTAATTTATGTTCCAATGACTTTTAAACTAGACTTCTTTGGTTTGTTTTCAGTGGTTGGCCTAGTCATTACGATGTGCACTTTTAACATAGCACAGTTGCTTTCAATTAATATTGTGCTGCTTCACATACAATATGAAAGTCTTATATTTCCACTTACTCTTTCCCACTCTTTGTGTATCGTCATAATACATTTCACTTTATATGTTATACACGCCACAATACATTGTTCTTATTTTTGCTTTTAATAGTAAATTATATCATAAAAAAATTAAGAAAAGGAAAAGAAAGTAAGTCATTCATATATGCCCACTTACCAATTCTGGCACTCTTAATTCCTTCCTTCGGTTCTGAGTTTCTGACATCATTTCTCTCCAGCCTAAAGAAAGTAGCATATCTTGTAATGTGAGTGTCCTGATGACGAATTCTCACAGCTTTCTTTTGTTGATCTAAAAATGTCTTTATATTGTCTTTCTATATGAGGATCTTGTGCTGGACACGGAATTCTAGATTGATTGTTTTTTCTATTAAGCACTTTAAAGATGTTCCATGATCTTTTAGCTTGTATTGTTTGGGATGAGAAGTCAGCTGTCTTTCTGCTATTTTTTAATGCCAGCTTTCCCTCCCTCCCTCCTTCCCTCCCTCCCTCCCTCCCTCCTCCCTCCTTTGGCTACTTTTACAATCTTCCCTTTTAACTTTGCTTTTCAGCACTTTTACTATGAAGTGCATAGTCACAGCTTTCTTTGAATTTGTTCTTTCTAGGGCTTGCTGAGCATCTTGGATCTGTGGGTTAATTTGGAAATTTTTTAGCCTTTATTTCTTCAAATATTATTTTCACTCATTCTCTTATCTCCTCCTAAGATTCTAGTTACATATATATTAAACCACTGGATATTATCCAGATTTTTTTTCTCTTGGTGCTTCAGTTTTAATAACATCTATATATCTCTGTCTTAAGTTTCACTGATCTCATTTTTATCAGGGTCCAGTGCACTATTAAGTCTGTCCAATGGATTTTTTAGATATTATATTTTTCAGGTGTAGAATTTTCATTTAGTTCTTTTTTTTAGCATTTCTGTCTTTCCCCTCAATTACCACCAAGTTTTCACCTCTTCTGTATTTTATTGTATATTCTTTAACATATTTTAATAATCGCTTTAATTTTCTTCTCTGCTCATTTCAGTGTCTGCTCAGGTCACCTATGGGTGTACTAATAATGATTTTTATTTTCTTAATTATAGGTCAGATTTCCCTCTTTATTTACATGTCTAACAATTTTTTATTGTAGGCTAGATACTGTATATAAAAAAAACAGTGGAAGATTAAATGAGTATATGAGGCCTGTCCAGAAAGTATCCATCCCAGTAATATGAAAAATAGAGACATTTACTGAAGAAGATACAAGAAACGTTGTACATAGGACAATGATGCCTAAGTCCCCTTCAAAGTATGCACTTTGAACCTCACACAGTTCTCCCAGTTGCCATCAGCTGCCCCGATGTATTTTCCTGAATCTCATCAACAGTCTGATATCCCTTCCCTTTCAAAGGTGATTTTAACTTTGGGAAAAGCCAGAGGTTTCAGGGCATCAAATCTGGGCTATAGGGTAGTTGAGTCACCTGGGGGATTTGATGTTTTTGCCAAAAAACTCTGTGACATATGATGCATGAGTGGGTGTATTGTTGTGATGAACCTGCCAACCACCAGGTCCCAAAGCTGTGGCCTTCTGAATCATCCAAATAGTTTCCACAGAGGAATGTTCAAGCTTAACCTAAAATCTGATGCAGATTTGTTGCTGTACTCAGTCATTTTGAGCATGATGGCCACACAGTACACATGCTCACTCAACAGCATCTACTGCCCCCAGTAACCAGTACAGTGAAATCATCATTGTTCACCCATGGGCATTCCAGTCCACTTTCCTTGGCTACCAGGTTACATCAATTTTACGCAAACCCTTCTCATTATACTAATAGTGGCTGGACTGTTTCTGGACACACCTTGTATATATAGTTTGTTTCATTCTGTCTATTTTTTTAAAATTTTATTTATTATTTATTTATTTTTAGAGAGGGAAGGGAGGGAGAAAGAGAGAGAGAGAAAAACATCAATGTGCGGTTGCTGGGGACCGTGGCCTGCAACCCAGGCATGTGCCCTGACTGGGAATCGAACCTGCGATGCTTCGGTTCACAGCCCACGCTCAATCCACTGAGCTATGCCAGCCAGGGCTTACATTCTGTTTATTTTTGAGAGACTCTAGGCCCTTTCCTCTGGTGGTTAATGTGGGGGACTGATTATTCCTATTCCTCCTAGAGCTGTGGCTGAGCTCTGGCTGAGACACAGCTTCGATGGAACTCACTTCTCATTACCCCACTCCCAGTGCCCCACGACACCACTGCAGAGGAGCTGATCTTTTTTTTTATCTCCTCAGTAGTTGGGCTAGGAAGGGGGAACTAGGACTACAGTTTCAGACAGTTCTATTCATCTTTGCATTTAACTCCAACAGGGCCTCAGAATTTAAGCTCAGCAGGAATGCACTGGCCTTTGGGGCAATACATACTAAAATCATCTGTCTCCTTCTGCTCCCTGGGCCTCTCTGATCTCATCTTCTCCCACTTTCCCCTCTGCTAATCTGTCTCCAGTGATGCTGTTCACTCTCCTGCTTCTCAAACAAGCAAATGACGATCTCACCTTAGTTCCTTTGTACTTGCCTAAAATACTCTTCCCGTAGATTTCCACAAAACTCTTCCTCACTGAATTCAGATCTCTGGTCAAATACCCTTTCAGAGAATCCCTCCCCCACCACCCTATGTAGAAGATCATCCATTCCCTCACTGTGGTGCTCCCTACTCCCCTTACCCTGCTTAATTTCTTCTAAGGTACATATGGCCATCTGGCCTTCTATGTATTTAATTATTTATGGTAATCTTCAGAGACTCTCCAAAACAGATCCAGAGGTGGCTCCCAATGAAAGTAGTTTAGAATCTCTCAGAATGTAGAATACTCTCAGAACTCCATGGGCCTTCATGGAGGTGGTTTGTGGCTGAAAAACAATGTATTTCATATTCTAGGAACAGTTGACCTTCAAGGACATATCTGTGAACTTCAGCCAGGAGGAGTGGGGCCAACTGACCCCTGCTCACCGGAGCCTCTACCGGGAGGTGATGCTGGAGAACTATGGGAACCTGGTCTCTGTGGGTAAGGATGAGCCAAACACTTATCCAGAAGCCTGCCCATTACAGAAGAGTCATTATTTCTAAATTATTAGATGTCATGGATTCCCTGGATCTTGGCCTTGGGTTTTGTGTTACAGATGTCTCATTCCTCTGAGTGTCAAGCCAGGGCATATCTGAGTCCCCTTCCTTTACTTTGTAGAGCTGATACAAAGACATGCTGCGGCATCCCTTTCCTTTTCCAGGGATCCTAGGACTGGAAATAAATTCTGGGGATGGTTCTTAGACCTCAACATGCATACTCTTTTTTTCCTTCGTAAGCAGGATATGAACTTTCCAAACCTCGGGTGATTTCCAAGTTGGAGAAAGGAGAAGAGCCGTGGATACCAGAGAAAGAAGGCCCAGGACATCACAGTTCAGGTGAGCGCAGAGTCTTCGTAGGCTGAGGCCTCTGGACAGGGCATGCACTAAACCTGATTTCACCCCTCTCTCTGCCTCTCCTTTCCTTCACTGACCACGCAAAAGTCACTCTGGAAGGAAGAGACGACTTGTCCTCATTAACATTAAACTTGATTTTCCCTCTTTCTTCAGTATCCTGAAGTCTGCCAGTGGAAAGTTCCTTTCTCTGTTCATTCAAATGTCTGTGGTCTCTCCTCACAGAAAACAGATCTCTGTTCAAGACTCTCACTGAATTCTACACATCTTTAATTTTCTTATTCTATTTCCACTTTCACCATCTTTCACTTTATTTTATTTTAAAATTTTTTATTTATTGATTTTAGAGAGAGAAGAAGAAGGCAGGAGGAAGAGAGAGAGAGAAACATTGATTTCTTGGTCCATTTATTTATGAATTCATTGGTTTTCTTGTATGTGTGCTGATGGGGATCGAACCCACAATCTTGGCGTATCAGAATGGCACCACCCTAACCAACTGTGCTACTAAGCTAGGGCCATCTTTCATTTTATAGTCCTAGCTTCAATTCTCATTCTTTTTAACTCACATATCTTAACTTTTGTAGCAACTACTTTATGACAACTTCTGTAAGAGAAATTAACACAGGATTCATTCTCAAATTTAGTGGTCTTCAACAATCTCCTTAAACTTTGTCACATTATGAAATATGTTTGATGTTTAGAAAGGCATAAAGAGCATTATAACAAGTTTCTGTGTAGCCTCCACCTCAGTTAAGAACTAAAACAGCATCAGAGCCTTGTTTTTCCCCTCTACCTTTTCAAGTAGCCAAGTCTTCTGAGTTTCAATGTTAACATTCCCATGTGTCTTCATGCTTTTCCTACATGTATATAACCCTACACAATATATTGCATTGTTTTGCATGTTCTTATTCCTTCACTTACTTTTCTTATTCAGCACTGTTTATAATTTTCCATGTTTATTCATTTCCATTGAATTAGTAAATCACAATTTATTTACCCATTTTCCCGTTGATAGACTTTACACTGTTTCTAAATTTGGGGTTACAGAGATGCTACAGTAAATCTTCATGTATTTATTCTCCTGTGTACAGATGCAAGTGTTTCTCTGGGATAATTGGTAGAATCAAATTGTTGGGTCACGGAGTATATGCTTCTTTCTTTTGCTAGGTATTACCAATTGCTCTCAGTAGCACCCATTTGTACTTACATCAGCAGATTTTAAGAGTTTCCAGAACTCAGCATCTTTGTCATTTGGCATTGACAACTTTAAAATTTTTGTCAATTCAGTGGGTGAATATGGTGTATTATTTCTTTCATTTTTCTGATTACCAGTGAGAGGGAATGTATTTTTCATGTTTATTGACCATCTGGGATTCCTCTTCTGTTAATTTCTTATATATATATATATATATATATATATATATATATATATATATATATCCTTTTCCAATTGTTTTATTATTGTTTTTCTTTTTTAATTGACTTATAGAAAAGATATACATTATCCTGTATTTTTTAAAATTTTGCTTTTCATATCTAGGTTCAATTCACTTGGAATTTATTTTATATACAGTGTGAAATGAGTATCTAGTTTAATATTTTCCACATGGATAATCAGTCTAGGAATCATTTATAGTTGTAGTTATTAATAGTTACTTATTAATAGTTAATGGCACTCTGTCACCTGTCACGTTTATAATGCTTGGGTCTGTTTCTGGGCTCTCCAGGCTGTCTTAATTACTGTGTTTCATAGTGAAACTTTATGTCTGGTGGAGGTAGTTCCCCCACCTTGTTCTTTAAAATTGTCCTGTCTTTTCTTAGCCTCATGCTTTTCCATACAAATTATATAATAAATGCATGAAATATATAATAGATATTTATAGATATGTACATATTTAGATATTTATATTTATAGATAAATATAGATACATTTTGATATATAAATATATATTTAGATATCTGTATTTAGATGTATATATATAAAATGCATCAAAATCATATAACGTGTACCACACACTCACAAATACTCTGGTAGTATTTTTATTGCAATGGAATTGAATTTCTAGGTCAATTTGGGGGGATTAGTATTATGATATTTAGTTCTGCTACCCAGGAACGTTGTATATTGCTTTATTTATTAATATTTCCTATTTTTTCTTAGAATTTAGTTTTTATTTATTTACTAATTAATTTATTGAAGTGACACTGGTTCACAAAACATACTCTTTTCAACCTAATTTTTTTTAAATGAAGTTTTAGGATTTTCCTCATAAAAGTCTTGTGCATATTCTATCTCTTTTGTCAGATTCATCTTGAAGACCCTATATTTTGTTGCCATTGTAGATGGTATATTTTTTTAAATTATGTTCTCTGAGAGGAAAACAGCAATTGGTTGCCTCCGGTACACACCTGCAACCTAGGAATGTGCCCTTACTGGGAATCAAACCTGTAGACTTTTAGTGTGTGGTATAATGCTCCAACCAGCTGAGCCACCTGGCCAGGGCTGTTTACTGCCTTTTAATTGCCCTTTACCTCTCCAGTATGCATAACCATACTTAAATATAATTAAAATATCATGTATTTCATATGTGTTGCTATCTAAATCTCTATTCCATACACGCTATAGTAATTGATTCCAAAGCACAAACAATATGAATTATTTGTATTTTTTCCATTTCTTTCAGACTTGAAGAGTAAAACAGAAACCAATATGTCAACTGCAAAGAACGATATTTTACAGGAAGAGTTATATCAAGGCATCATGATGGAAAGGTTCGTGAGGGATGATGTTATTGACTCCACATTGAGAACAGTCTCCAGATACAGTGATGAGTTAGAAAGGCATCAGGACACCCAGGGAAGAAATGTGGGACCAGCAATCTTGACCCATAAGAAGAGAGGCCAAGAAACTAACAAATTTGGGGAAAATATTGTGAGTTCAAATGTTATTATAGAACAGAGGTACCATAAGTATGACACACTTAGAAAGAGGAACAAATACAAATTAAATCTGATTACCCATACAACAAGTTATATAAGAGCAAAAACCTATGAGTGTAACATATGTGAAAAAATCTTCAAACAACCCATTCATCTTACGGAACACATGAGAATTCATACTGGTGAGAAACCTTTCCGATGTAAGGAATGTGGCAGGGCCTTTAGTCAAAGTGCGTCTCTTAACACCCACCAGAGAATCCATACCGGTGAGAAACCCTTTGAATGTGAAGAATGTGGCAAAGCTTTCAGACATCGCTCCTCCCTTAATCAGCATCACCGAACTCACACTGGGGAGAAACCCTATGCATGTGATAAATGTCAGAAAGCTTTCAGCCAGAACATTAGTTTGATCCAACATCTGAGAACTCATTCTGGAGAGAAACCCTTTACATGCAACGAATGTGGGAAGACCTTTCGACAAATTCGACACCTTAGCGAACATGTAAGAATTCATACTGGGGAGAAGCCCTATGCGTGCACTGCATGTTGTAAAACCTTTAGTCATAGAGCATATCTAACACATCACCAGAGAATCCATACTGGGGAGAGACCCTACAAATGTAAAGAATGTGGGAAAGCCTTTAGGCAGAGGATCCACCTTAGCAATCATAAAACTGTTCATACAGGAGTGAAAGCATATGAGTGCAACCGCTGCGGAAAAGCCTACAGGCATGACTCATCCTTTAAGAAACATCAGAGACATCACACTGGAGAAAAACCTTACGAATGTAATGAATGTGGAAAAGCCTTCAGCTATAATTCATCACTTACTCGGCACCATGAAATACACAGGAGGAATGCCTTCAGAAGTAATGTGTGAGAACAGATTATCCAACATGAGAACCAAAGCCAAGTCTAAATCAGTGATTCTACGCTTTTAAATTTCAGGGCTCTAAATTGGAGTTATTGATATAATGATACCAACTTCTAATTTTGCCCATTTTGTATATAAATGCTACATTGATAACTATTATCTACGAATACCTCTATACAAAGTCCTTAATCAAGAATAAAGGATGGTTCTTCCAATTAAATTTAGCTATATGGGAAATTCACACATTATTATTATTTTTCTGATTTTGTGGTGAATTAATAAATAATTATTCATGGGCCTTCACTGATTTACAGGTTGGCATTTGGGAACAACTGTTTAAAATGTCATCATCTCACATGTTTTAAATTAGAATTTTATTTTTTTAATGAGGAAAACTGTCACATGGCACAAAGTTCAAAAAGCACAGACCTCCATTCCCACCATCAGATTCTACCTAAAGGCAGCCATTTTTTTATAACTAAAACTTTTTTTGTGTATCTCTCCAGAGAATTTTCTATTTATATCCTAGAGAATACAAATATACGGTTTTTCTTTTTAAGCATAAATGGCAACCTCCTATACAAGTGCATTTGCACGTTCCTTTTTTTACTTAACCATATACCAAGGAGGTCATTCCACATCTGTGGATAAATTGCCAGTTTATTCTTTTTATAGCCACATAATATTCCCTGTTTTGAATGTATGTTTATTTAGTTAGTCTACTATGGATGGACTTTTGGATTTCCAATCTTTTGTTTATAGAATGTTGCAATGAATAGTCTTACATATTTTCATTTCTCATACATGCAAGTATATATGTAAGGTATGTTCCTAAAACTGGAATTTCTGTGCTAGAGGGTATATGCATTTGTATGATGGCCAAGTTGACTTTCATAGTGGTTGGACCAATTGATTTTCCACCAGCAAGAGACAAAACTTCATATCCGGTGCTGAAGCATCTCTTAGACCAACACACTTATCAGCCATCAAAGAAGTATCAGCTTGTCTCAGTGACATAGCCTAGAAGTACCAACTGAGCTGCATCCAGAAAGATCAGCACTTGCCATCCCTGGAGCCAGAGAGGAGTCTGCATCTTATCTAATAGCAGTGAAGCCCATCAAATTTTAGCTGGTGGAAGAGAGGACATTTTTCCATCAACAACTCTAGTGCCTGGGAGACAGGAAAGAGAGAGGACACAACTTTCTGATTAATAAACAATGAATGACAGCATTAATCAGTTAACATGGCTCATTATGTTGTGAAAACAGGAGGGTCAGGACTGCAGTGATTTTGTACATGCTCATTTTTAAATCTGGTAAAACTTGATTAAAGTTTTTATGATACTCCATTTACTGTTCTCCTTCCCCTATGGTCTCTAACTAAATTATACAGGGGTGGGCAAAAGTAAGTTTACAGTTATGAGTACTAGAAACAGTTTATTCTTGTATTTGTTGGATTAAAACTATAAACCTACTTTTGTCCACCCCTGTATTAGTTGGAACTCTTTAGGTTGCAAATAGCAGAAATCAGCTGGGGATATTGAAGTCTGAAAGGGGTGGTATTAGAGAGATATTGAGCTATCTTGTAATCCAGGGGCTGCAACACATTCTAACAGTGGACCGGGACCAGGACCAGGACCTTTCAGTTTGCAGAACAGCACCCCGAGCAGAACCATGCACTGAGCTGCACCAGTCAGGGCTGTATTCTTTTTCACACGAAGTCTTCAAAATACGGTGTGTACTTACAGTTACAGCATTCCTCATTTTGGACCAGCCACATTTCAAGTGCTTAAGAGCCACCTGTAGCTGGTGGCTACCATGTTGGACGGTGAAGCTCTAGAGAGTACTGATGCAAACACTTCTGTCATGAAGATAAACATATGGTGGACTGTCATCGGTGTGATATTAGAGGTACAAATTCTGTAACTGAATAAGCAAGTAAAGATGGAAGAGGAAAACAGACCATTTGCATTTAATAGTATTTCCTTTGTGCCCTGGCTGGTATGGCTCAGTGGATTGAGCCCTGGCCTGGGAACCAAAGGGTTGCCAGTTCAATTACAGGTCAGGGCACGTGCCTGGGTTGCGAGCCAGGTCCCCAGGTGTGGGCATGTGAGAGGCAACTGATCCGTTTCTCTTCCTCTCCTCCCTCCCCCTCTCTCTAAAAAAATGAAAATAAAATCCTAAAAAGAAAACAGGATTTCCTTTGTTACAGATATCCCTGGGGATGGAAACACTAAATCAGTGAATTTGCCTTAAATGCTCAGACTTCTTAGGATAGGGTTTTGGGGAAGGCGTCTTTTTCTGAAATTTGAGTCCCACAGTCTTGAGAATGAAAGATTTTGGGAACATTATTCTGCTGTCTTGGATATTTCTTTTCCCCACAGATTTCATGACTGCTTCTGAATCTCTTCTGCTTCACTCTTCCCAGCAGCATTTCCCCCCAACTCCCAACTTCGACCAACCTCTGATTTAAAGGGAGGTCAAAGTGTGAAAGGGTTGGCGCTGGGAGTTGCATCCTGATGAAGCCCCATTACACTAGGGAGGAGGCGGAAACCTTCTCCAGCCTCAATCCAGGCCTGCTGACTCATATTTCACTTAATTAGACTTTCCTTAACTCCCACATTTCCAAGGACAAGGATGTTTTCCTTTACAACCACAAAGTCTTTATCACAGTTGGGGTATTTGTATTAATACTATTATGTACAATTCATATTTAAGGTTTTTTGCCTGACCAAAAGTATCTTTTGTAATTTTTAAAAACATTTTTGTATTTTTATTTAAGACTTTTTTTATTCTGAAATCCAAAAGGTATTTTCCTTCTTTTATCTTCTAAGGACTTTATAGTTTAGTTTAAGGGAAGTCAGAAATGAACATGCCTCCAGCAGTACAGGCATCTGGGAAAGACTGAACTCTCTGATTAACCTTCTGTGACTGTTTAACTCTGTAGCCTCAGGCTTGGCGGACTACCCAGAAAGCTGGAATACCACCCGAAGATACCCCCAGGAAGGAGGGTAATGAATGTATAGAGTGTGGATAACTGCCTGATGTTATCTGTTAATGTAGAAATGCATTGTTCTTTCTCCACATGGTTTTACTATTAGCCCCCTATGAAAAAGAGACCCTGTCCTGGGAGGGAGTGGATTTCTTCACAGCTGGACACCGCTGGGAGCTTTGCCAGTGTATGTAAGTTTCTCCAATTGAAGCTCTTACACATTTGAATCAGAATCTATCCTGAATTTAGACTTTGGGGCTTTCCCTGACACTTAGCTTTTCACATTTAGGTCTTTAATCTTTCTGGAATTGATTTTTGTGATGAAGTCAGATAGAGGTCTCATTTTGTATACACTTAATAAGGATACCCCATTGTCACAGAACCTCCATGGAAAAGACCATCTTTTCCCTGTTGCTATGCAATTCCACTTTTGTCATAAAGCAAGTTTCCTAATATGTGATAAAGCAGTGAAGAACAGTGAAGAACGTGATAGTCATAAAAGTCAGGCTAGCGGTGTCCTCAGGAAGGACACATGGGGGTGTATTTGGGAAGGGCCTGAAACTTTTTTATTTTTGCTGTAATGATAACATGTCTGCTCAATAATTATTTACACTTATCTTGATTTTGTATTTCAAAATGTAATTGTGTCGTTACAATTACATTTTGACCAAGAAAGGTTAATTAAAAAGTAAATAGCCCTGGCTGGTGTGGCTCATTGTATTGAGCACCAGCCTGTGAACCAAAGGGTCACTAGATTGCCAGTCAGGGCACATGCCTGGATTGTGGGCCAGGTCCCCAATGCGGGGGGCGAGGGTACGTGACACACACACATTGTGTGTTTCTCTCTCTTTCTCCCTTTCTTCCCTTCTCTAAAAAAAATAAAAATAAAATATTTTTAAAAAGATTTAAGAAAGAGAGAGTAAATAAGAGAAATACAATGATGAGACAAGCACCAGCATGAAAAGTGAGTTCGTGGTTTTTCTCTCCGCTGGGAATGCTGGTGCAAGGTGCAGAGGGGCACCCGTCATCCAAGGTGGCAGAGCAAAGCGCAACACTGAACGGACTGAGGCCAGGTGCCCTGAAGAAAGAAAGGGACATGCTCACAACTTTCTCGGATGCTGGCTTGGCAGTAGCCAGGAAACCCCGCCAGAGTGGGCACTTCCAGGTTAAGTGACAGAGCAGCTCCTTCCCCATTAAAGCACGCGCACAGCCAGCGGCGCGCAGACCGCACCTGCAGGGAGCGGAGGAAACGCACATTAAAAACCTCTGCACCGCAGCTGGAGGGATTCCCGTCGGAGCCGCAGCTTAGCGAGCTGTAGAGGGCGCCCCTGAGGCCTCTGGGAGGGGGCGGTCCTTGGGCGGTCGCCGGGCGTTCTCGGCCTGGTCTCCCCGCAGCTTTGTGCGAACGCCCGAAGCCGAGGGCCGCTGCGCTAAGTGCTATTGCGGGTTGCGAGTAGAGTCCCGCAACGGTTCCGAGGCCGCGGCGGAGCCTGGTGGAGTCCGGGGTTCGCAGGAGTATCCGAGGTAAGGGGAAGGCGGTCGAATGGTGGTGGCGGATTGAGGGGCTGCGTTTTGGAGCTCAGGGGTCTGTCCCCGCCTTGCCGCACCCCCCACCTTTCTCCCAGGGCGGCGGCGGCTCCCAGAGAGCCGCTCGTCTCGTCTGCTCGTGCAGGCCTGGCGCCTGTGGGCTCTGGACCTTTCACCCTTCCGGAGGCCAGCGACCCCTTGCTGTGGTTCCCGACTCCTCCAGGACATTGCAGGAAGCGCTCAGTAAACTTTAGGGCCTGCATGGAACTCCCGGGGAGACCGCGGGTTGGGGCCAGTAGAATGGTACCCTTTGAAAGCAAACATTCTCGGAGCCCTTAAGCGCGGGCTGCTCCTAACAAGTAGGATGCCGAGAGTGAAGGCAGTGGTAGTTCCTTAAGGAGCAGGAACCCATCAGAAGAAAAAAGCCTCTGTGTGACCCGGGGTCTCTGTCTGAGCTTCCGGACCACGCTTGGGACTGGAAGAGGGAACTGACTGCGGAGCACCTGGGGTGGGGTGGGGGTGGGGGTGGGGGGCGGAGGGGGCTTGGTTATTTTTTTTATCCTTTTATTTTCAGGGAACAGGGAATGGATCAAGTAACTGCATCCAGGGTATGGGGAAAATGAAGAAGTCATGGAGGATTTCCGCCCCCCCCAAGAGAGGCAAGCATTACCCAGGACCTGGGGTGGGGTCCGGTTTGTGCCGTGTGGATCGGAGAGGAGGAAACGCTACAGTGTGAGGGACTGGGCAGCTGAGAAAAGACCAAAAGTCCCCATTCTGCCATAGCACAGCCCGGTTTCCAATTTGGATTCTTCGATGCAGACCTGAGCTTTCAGAGCCTCTTTGTCCTCCGCCAGCGTTGTCATTTTGCATTCTGCCTTTCCCTGTGAGGAGGAAGATCAACCAGGTCTCAGGTGAGTAGTTTTCCTCCCTCCTAAGGTTTAATCTCATTTGTCAGAGGGAACTGATACACCATCCCTTCCTTGGGAACGGGAGAAGGTCCACATTTGTTGAGTGCTAACATATATACTGTTTAATCCCTCAGTCATTTGGTTAACTGAGCACAGTTGAAAGGAATACTCCGATGTTAAGGACGTGTGGGTACTCTCAGGAAAACTTGCCGGAGAGTACTCCTGAGGCAGGTAGCATACTCCCAAGTACTACTGATTTAGGGTTCCGTTCAGAATCCAGATCCGTAGGCGTTTCCCAAATATCTCATCCACTTGCCACCTAATGATTTGTGTCATGCCTACCTACTACTTGGATCGTTATTCTCATATTTTAATTTTTTACTACATTTACTTAAAATCAAACTTGTGCTAAGAAACACTATCTATGAAATTATACATTTGATGGATGCTCTAATAGCTCTCCATTTATTCTAAGATACATGCAAAAATGTTGATAAATGTACCATGTGAAATCATCTCGCATCAAAAAGATACTTGGTGTATGAGTAGATCTGTTTGTATCTGTAGTTAGTCTTTAAAATGTTGTTCCTGCAAACTACATTTAAGAACAGTCATCATAAAGCTGTTTTTTCTCAAGAAACAGTTTGCAGTTGAGATTTATTATCATAGTCAAGAACTTTGTATCAAAGGAATTGTGAAAGTGATCCATGTAAACTGTCAAACATTGTTCCAACATTTACAAAGATCTGGCTTCACTTAAAATAATGAAATAATGTCCCAGGTCAGTAGAACTTTGAAGCAGAAAAGGAAAAACTCAAATCTTTTAAATGAAGAAATTGATGCCAAAGAAGATGATTTGCTTAATCACACATAATATGCTAGTGCTAGATTCAGGAATAAAACTATTTTGCACTTAAAAAAATTTTTTT